AAAAAATCTAACCAATTGCACTTCCAGTGAATGTTTAATTATCCCAGTACTATTGTTTAAGGTTATCTTATCTCCATTGTATTGCTTTTGCACTTTTATCAAAAGAAATTTGAATGTATTAGAATGTTTATCATTTAATTTTTCCATGAACATATTGTAATTTTCATTTTGGAGTTTTCTGTAATGTTGATAAAATCACATGAAACAGTTTCATCATCTTCAGTGATTATAAATAAAATTTTGTTTTCTGATTGACTGAAAAAAAAAAAAAGATTTCCTCTTGTGGCTCGACAGTGTGAGGAGCTCTATAAGCAATTCCTCAAAGAAGCTAGTGAGCTGTATTCAAAACAAAAAATAAACCCATTTAAATTGCCCACAAATGGTCTTAAAGGCATACCAAAAAATGGAAGAAAAATAACTTTAAAAAAAAATCTAATACTTCATGATGAACAGTGGAAGTCTGTGATATTTATTGACTGTCCCTTCTCTCTCTGCTTCCCAGCTCAGTGGGGCAGGCTTTCCACTCTAGAGTGATACGTGCAAGATCACGGTGTCCCTCTCTCACAGCTGGATGCCGCAAGGCTCTGTACTTGGAGTAAGGAGCATTTCCCTTCCTACTTCTGCTAGCTGTTGTGCAGCAAAACTTGGGGTGAGTGTGGCCGAATGCTTTGGGGCTCCTTTCTGTCCAGGCACCCCTAGTGAGATGGAGGCATGACATAGCACCACTGGGAATACTGGGAATTCTCAGAATTTATGACCTTTAGGATCATTTTTGCCAATTTCTGCAAAATTTATCTGAGATTTTGATGGGTATGCTGTTGAATCTATAGATCGATTTGAGGGGTATTACCATTTCAACAATATGGTTTTTCAACCCATGAATATGGAATATTATTCCTTTTGAATGCTTTAAATTATTCCAGCAATACTGCATAGTTTTTATTTTGTTACATTTATTCCCAAGTATTTTATACTTCTTCAAAATATTTTAAATAAAAATTTGTTTGAGATACTGAGGGATTGACCCTTTGCCTTTGTGCTGAGTACATGCTTAGCCAAGTGAAAAAATGGTTCTTCCAAAGCTGCTATAATCACCCAAGCTGAGCTGGTGCTTGCAGTCTTCCTGCTTCAGCCTCCCAAGGTGCTGGGATTATAAATTTGTATCACCATGCCTACTTGTAAATAAAATTAATTTCATTTTCAAAGTGTTCATTAGTAATGTATATTAATACTGACAGTGGATATTTATTTATTTTGTATTTTTAGGAAAGGGTCTACAGGGTGTTCAGGGTCTCACTAGTAGATCAGAGGCTAGTGATTCGCCTGTTTACAACCTCTCAAGAGATGGGATTACTGGCAGAAGCTACCACGCCCATCTCGATTGTTGTGTTAGCACGCCGGCATGGCAGGCCTGGGGATCAAACCCCTGGCCCCTGCACTTGCTTGCATGCACTTTAATCCACTGAGCTATTTGGCCCCTTGAGAGTGGATATTAATATTGAGCTATGTATATTTTTTATTCAACCTTGATTAACTCATTTATTAGCTTTAGTACCTAATAAAAACTAAGTTGAGCAGCTGAAGCTGGAAACCATCACACATGCATGGGCAAGGCAAGGCAGGTCCAAAAACAAAGAGCGCCAGAGGCAATACTAGCTGCTTCAGTCCAGGCAGCACCAAGCCCTGAGACAATCCAATGGTTGCTAGGCAAAGTTGTGTCACATGAGATTAACTTTGTCAAATGTATGAATAAATACCCATATGGTGGCTGAGAAGTTTCTTTCCTCCTATCTGGAGAAAGAGGGCTCCACCTGACCTCCGCTTTTGTCTCTTTATCTTTATTTTTCTCAACTTCTTGTCCTTCTCCCCCTGCGACCTTCAAGAACCATGTGGGATGAGGTACCTTTGTAGTAAATTCTTAGGGTTTTCTATATATAATGATCTTATGTGTAGAAATTTACATTCTGGAACATTTTAATCTTTATAGATATTGAAAATTCTAAAAATTATATGATTTATGTGCCTGATTTATATGCAGCTAAGTATAGTAGGTGATCAATAAAAGATTTTCAAGTACAAAAAATATTACATTGAGGTAAAATTTCATATGGTGGAAACATGACTAACAGAAGAAATCATGCAAAATTATCTCCTATTAAAGAAAAGCATGTACGTGTAGTTTAAAATTAATGATGGTAAATACCAAGTTGTCTGGTATTTAGCCGTTGGGTACATTTACAAATTATGTAACATATTGTAAAAGCCTTCCTTTGAAATGATTTAAGCCAAATGAAAATTTTGGTGATCAATCTAAGATACAGGCAGTACATGGGTAGTTTAAAAAAAAAATTCTTAAAACATTTTTTTAACATTCATTTGAAACCCCTGTTAGAGTATATCTCAACAGGTTTTGCTTTTTAAGACTAATGCCTTTTAAGATGACCTCTGATTTTGAATTTTACCTTCTGCCACTACGTAGATATTCCATAGTTTTCATCAATTAATTTGATTAAGAGGAGAAGCAATCCATCTGGCTCAAATTACTGCCATACTTCAAGATTCAGGGCACTACAGAATTTTTGTAAATCATGCTTATTAGAGTATAAATTGTCATCCTACTACTCCACTAATTTTAAAGAACTTCTGAAGAAAAATTGTTGCAAGAAAAATTAAATCACTACCCTCAGGAGAAGAAAGGAGCTTTTATTCACGCTAGCAGACCCCGGAGGAGTAATCTCCAAAGGTTTTCAAAATGTTTGTCTTTTGTAAGCTGGCAAACAAGAACGCTAAGCTTCTTGTTGAGGCCCAGGGTCCACAGGGGCATTTTGTGACGAACACAGTGATGAGCACGGTGGATGTAACAAGGTCGTTAGCACAGTCACAGAAGTTTCAATTTGATGACAAATCAAAACTTAGCAGAGTTCAGCAGCCCAGGACAGAATGGCTGCAGCTTTACGGAGCAGAAGGGCTGCAGTTTGGTCAGGCTTTCTGCCTGAAAGCGAGCCGTGACCACGCTGACTTTTCCCTTCAGCGTTCGACACCCCTAAAAGCCACAATTGCAGCGCACACGCTCGCACTCGCACGCCCGCGCCCGCAGCCCGCCGCCCCGCCTGGAGGCCAGCTGTCCCGGATCCCGCAGCACAGTCACAAAGGCCGCATTCCAGAGCCGCTCCCCCGCCGCGCGCTCTCCCTCCCAGGGCGCGCGGCAGGACCGCAGAGCCGCGCAGCCGCGCTTGTGCCCCTGGCGGCCGCAGGCTCGCACTGCCCCTGCGATCCCGGGGTCCCGCGGCGCCTCCCTCGCGGGCGGTGCGCGGCTCTGCGCAGGCGCGGGGCGGTCGACGAGGCGGCCCGAGACCCCGCCGCGGGGTCTGCGCAGAGCCGCGGCCCGAGGCGTCTGGCCTGCCGCCTTCGCTCCTTTCCTCCCCGAAGTTTCACCGCGGCGTGCCGGCGCGAGCGGGCGCCCCCAGCACTTAGAAGGTCGGCGTGGGCAGAGCCGCGGGCTCAGCGCGTCCGTGGGGAGCGGGGACGGGCGCGGGGCGCGGTGACGTGGCGCGCGGCTGGGGCTGCG